CCTCAGAAGATTCCCTTCTTAAAGTGAAATACCTGTTAACTTTGTGGAAAGTTAACTCGACAAGGGACATAATCAGTAGAAACCGAGCTCCCTTCTAACACATTGTTAAATGTTTTAGAGAAGTTTGTGGTATATATCCCATATCTGCGACCAGCGTCGTGAAACAAAGACCACATAGGAAACGACACTTGAACAATATAATCTATGGCCTTGGTGCATGCCTAACCGATCGAACACAGATCAACTTGCAGTTTTCTTTCTTGCCTTTGATACACAGCAGCCTTGAACATATCTCTCATGTGGTTCCTTCGCACGTTAGTCTTCAAGTTAGAAGCCATGTGGCGAACACAAAACATGTGATAGGCTCGCGGCTCGTTGAATCCAACGTTAGGATCATTAATTGCTGCAATGATCCCAGCACGTTAATCAGAACACAGAGGCCATCTCGCTGCGTCACATGAACCCGAATGCAGCCTAGAAACCAAGACCAGCTGGAAGTGTTTTCCCCTTCAACCAACACAAATGCTAGTGGAATTACTTGGAAGCTTGCATCCACACTTGTAGCAACCAACAGTGTTCCTTTATACTTTCGGTACAAGTGCGTCCCATCGATACAGATAACAGGCATACAATGTTTAAAACCATCGATACAAGGACTGAAGGCCCAAAACACTCGTTCAAACACTTCCATGTTGCTGTAGTACGGACCATCCACTAGAGCTTTGTGTTTCCATACAACAACGGTTCCCGGGTTTGACTGTTGGAGTGCTTGCATGAACTGTAGAAGTCTGCCGTAAGAACTCTCCCAATCCCCAAATATTTCAGCTATAGCTTTCTCCTTGGCATACCATGCTCTTCGATACGGAACATCAAAATGAAATTGCTTGGAGATGAGATCCTGAATGAATTCAACTTTCAGGGACGGATCTTTCTGCACAAAGGACTTCACATACTCACATATTATGGACGAACCCAAGTGAGGGTGATCAGTAGATAGTACTTCAGTGACACAGTTATCCCGGTTTATCAAATCATTGAAAGTCATGTCCGGTTCAAGTGTTAGTGGTTCCATATTTCCTCCATTATACACGACATTTGGTCCAACAAACATAATTTCACCTCCCCACCGGCATAACAAAACTACATTTTGCGCAGCCATATTTTACATAACAACCAAAATACATTTTAAGATAATTGAAATCTAGAGCGAGGTAAAAAAAACCTAATTGAACCATACATAGCTTCAATAGTGGATAGTGATATCACAATTCAAGAAGGACCTACATGTCTAGCCAATATGACAACAATGAAACAAGGCCATCTTTACTGCCAAATTTCACATAAATGTACCATATTACCATCAACAATTTCATCAACAATGTACCACATTACCATCAATAATTATCAACAATTTACCACATTTTCATTAATAATTAGCAACAATTTCATACAATTTACAACAATTTACAACAATTAACCACAATTAAGATCAATTATCAACATTACACTAATATGAATTTAGGGTTTACCACAAAATTGAGTGAGTGAGTGAGAGAGTGTGGGTGTGACGGAAGGTAGCAGCAACAGCGACCGGCGGCAGCAGCGGAGGCGGCAGCGGCAGCGTGAATGCAGCGGCTGAGAGTGAAAGTGTATGGGGTCTCCGTTAGTGAGAGAGACATTGAGAGTGTGAGAATTTGAGTGAAGTGAGCTATCAAATTCGATTCTGGGAAGATAATACCCAAGAAACGCTGAATGAGAACGGCATTTTTTTTTTTTTTAAATCAGAAATTACAAAAATTAAAAAAAAAAAAACAAATACGTTCAAACGCTACTGTATTTGAATTATTTTTTTTATTGTTTTATTTTTTAAAAACAGAAATTACGAAACGTTTAAAAAAAAAGTAAAACATGTAAAACGTTGACTGAGGCAGCATTTTATACTTTGTTTTTTTAAAAAAATCAGGGATAAAAAAACACTGACTCGATCAGCGTTTTACCCTAGAAGCTTAGTTTGGTAAATAGTTTGGTCATGCGTCTTCTTTGGTAATTAGTTTGTGAAATTGCCTTACTTTGGAAAATTGTCCTCAATAAATATACTTCCTCCGTTTTTTTTACACCACACTTTTTTTACGGTTCCCCATGCAATTTAGTGGGTGAGTGATTAAGTAGGTTGAGGGGTATATCTTAAGATATAATTAGTAAACTAATTAGTCTACTCCAACCACCACTACACCACCACCGACACCACCACAGCACCACCACCACCATCGAATCAACCAACACTTTATGATTTCAGGCGGCCTAAGCTAGTTACTCTATTGCTTCGTATTTAATATTTCCGTGGGAGCAATAATTCTTTCCCTCCAAAGCCATCAGTAAATCGCTGCCATGCTTGCTGCATATAAGCATGCTTTCTTATTCTGAGACCCTCAGTTTTGTTATACCACCAAATGACCAAGAACTAGTACTCCTACATCTTAGTTACGAGTACAACACATTCGAGCATTGTTAATTCCCAAGCATACACCACAACAGACCAAACAACCCCAATACTAAAACAAAACCTTAGAATCCAAAATCTCAATAATCATCTATATTCATAGAAATATAGCAAATTTAACTCAAATTAGAAAACACACACACACAAAAGGAGATTCCCTGCTATCAAAGACTTATACTCGAATATTCTTCTCATCATAATCCTTTTATTCTAATCAGCAAATTTTGCTCTAATCATTATCTTTTCTTGTCAAATGATTTGTATTTAGCACCCTCTAATCGCAAGAAAACATTACATTCCACAATGTCCACATAAATTCATAAATCAGTTTGTCAATAATATACTGATTTCACATGGTGGATGTGCAAATCGTGACTGAAAACTTATTTGATGAAATTACATGATCCCTCACAAATTCCATCAATTGCTACATAATATGAGCCTAATAGTAGCAGCCACCTTTTATTCTAGAATTTTGGTATTAAACTAAGTAGATTCAAGCACAAAGTTACTGTCACCAACCCTCTTTACTGTCACAAAAGTTATCTGCAAGCACAAAGTTGCTTGCACATACAGAAAAGCACAAGAAACAACAAAATCAAAGTACATTACTACAATATAAGCTAATCATATTAAATTGAATTCAATTACGAATCAAATAAATCAAACACCCATCTAACTACTGAGTATTCCCTTTACATAATCACCAACTAAGCAGTGTAAGCACCACAAAAATAGGATAAAAAGAAGAATAAAATAATAAGTGAAAAAAGAAAGAGAGAGAGAGTAAAACTTGAGCAATAAAGTGTGCAAACACCATCTGCCACCCAGAAATTCTAACAAATGAAACACCACACTAACAATCAAACTAAAATGGTAGAATTGGATATGTCTAATATATGAAGAGAGAAAGGGGAGAGCAGATATAAAGTGTACCGCATTGTCTGTATCCAGCTCTGAATTGGCTTCGTAAAAAACCTATCATACATCATTCAGTTAGAAACTTAGAACAATCTAGATCAAAAAGGTTTTGAGACTGATGAACTGTCAGACAAAATTTTATTGATGCAATTTAAGTCTTATACTTCGTACAACTAAGCATACAAACTAATTTTGACAGCTTCCAAGATCAAGGTTTCTCAATATAGCTGCTATCACTTAAGTCCATAAACCAAGCATGAAGTATGAAGCAGTATGAGTAGCTTAGTTCCCTTCCTCACCCCCATTGCAGAGCAAAATTGACAGTGATAAGAAATCATAAACCAAGCACAAGGAACCCATCTATATATACAGGGGAAACACAATCTCGACACTACCAGCGATGATCCTCTGAGTACGGAAGGTGGTATGAATACCAACATTTTGCCCACAGATCACAATACCTTTGTAGATAGATAGTCTACGGCCATTTTCTGGAACTCCCTACAAAGTTGAAACCACCAAAGAAATCAGCATAGCACAAGTAAGCACTGGAGAACAAAGGGAAGAAAAAAAAAAAAGCAAAAAAACAGATGGTATAGAAATAAAGAAAAAAAATTACAACCAAACTAAACAATTTAATTGCCACAGTGTCTCCGATCCTGATGTCTGGCACTGGACGTCGCTCATCTGAAGCCTCAACTGCTCTGTTTTTCAATACCTAGACATGCAATGCTGCACATAGTAAAGTCCTAATTCAGTTGTCATCTCATTCATTGCTAACGACCAAGTCATTTATCAATTGAACTAATAAGATTGGAAATGAACTATTTATTATCAATTGGTATGTCAACCGTGAGGACGATCTTACCAACATTGCTTACTTTAAAGCTTCGAGATATAACCTGATCATCACTTAAAGTCATCTTGGTTTTTATTTGTATAATTACAGTGTATCTTCTATGCTGGGCACAAACTCAGCACTATAAGTCACATCCCACCCAACCACTCGAACTTCCCAGACGATGATTCATTTCTACAACGTACAATACCAATATTGTGAAACGTAAGCAATAGGTTAATAAATAAAAAGCAATACGACTAAATGACACAGCCTCTGAGCATATGATTTCCACAAACTGTTTCCTTGTAGGATTCAGGTTTAGTACAATACCTCTGGATTGCAATCACAATAATCAACTCTCAACCCGCCATACTGAGATTGAAAATAAGCCTTTAATATTTCAAACATAATGTAGTGCTGAAAATTTTCCAAATCAGTCATACAGAACAATAGCTTTAAGTTGTTGCATTAAGTTAATGAACTCGTCCAATGTTTCACAAACTCATATTAGCAAATCAAGGGAAATTCATATTATTGAATGTTATCGAGTGTTTGACAAACATATTTTCTCTACTTTACTCCTACAGTGACAAAATTGCTATTAAAGTAATCAATAAGGCTAGAAAGTACTACAAAGAGAATAGGAAAACCAAAACGAAAGATAATACAACACTGCCCACTATAAAATAGTGTTTTATTCAATAGAAAAAAAGAATTAAAGGTAAATACTGAGGGAACTTAAGAAGCTAAGAGAGATACTTGATAGATAGAAAATATTAATTGGAAAGAAAAATAATTTAATTAGGGAAAAGGTCGTGACATTCATGACAAGATGCATTTATTATGAGTAAAGGCTGTTCTCTAACCTAAGGCTGCCAAATAGATCGCCTTTCACAGGGCCATTATCTAACAAATCATCCATTTCTAGGAGATATTGATCCCCTATAAGGAGAACCACCTCATTGTGCAAGCCATTGTATGATGGGAATCCCTCAGGCCCAAACGAGTCTAGAAGATCTTTAGCAAATAATGTAATGAGATGGCCATCTTTATCAAATGCTGCAAGAATACCTTTATATGTACAGCCCATCAGTATCTTTTCTTTCACAAAAACTGTGTGTTGGGGGTCAAAGGGGCACACCAACCATGGCATTGGCTTTGGACTACCAAAAGATGTACTAGCTTCGCCATCAAAGTGAACGAATACCACTTCAAAATCAGCGACCCTTGCTGTTTTATTTTGATTGTACCACTCAAGCAATGTATAATAGGTGTCTGATGGCGTTTCCACTAGGTCAATGTAGAGAAGGACATGTTTTCCCCGCAGTTCGCCTATAGGCACTTCATCAATGCCATTGCTGATATCATTATGATTAGTCAAATTCATGCGAAGAACATAATCCCGTGACCCATAAACCAGCAAAGACTCTAAGGTGACTGCCCTTATCGCTTCCAATTCTCTCTGCACAAGGGAGTGCCTGGTGAAGGGATATCCATTGATACCCAACCGGTTAATAACATATTTTCCCAAGTGATCCGCAATATTCATCTTGGGGTCCAAAATGACCAGTTCATCCTCTTCGTCATGGTGATAATAGCTTAAACCAATTTCCCAGAGCCTGCGGCTTACAAAGTCGTTGAACGGTGAAACCCACCAATGAGGATTAGCAGATATCTTGAGCTTATGTAAGACATGATTGATAGCCTCCTGGAACAATAGTGGATCCGAGCTGTCTCTGTAAGGTAAGTAGACGAGGACGATGTGGAATTCCTGGTCCCGAGCCTTACATTCTTGAGAAAGCAAGTTGAGCGTCCGAATCAAGGTGCCATCATAGCACAAATACAACCCCACAAGCTTATCTTTGAGTTCAAAAACCGAGACTTTATTCTCAAGATCTATACCCACAGTTACAAAATCATTAGCCCCAGCAGCATTATTATTTATATTGAAAACAAATTCAGAGTCTAAATTTGAATGTAGGTGGGTGTGAATTTTCCACCAAGAATAATCAAATTCAGGATCAAAAAAGGGGGGAAAGGAAAGTCCATTATACCACAAAGAAGGTTTATGCTCAACAACCTTTTGATGGTGGTCTACTAGAAGACCCACTGAGTCCGAAAAAAGGCCAAGGGAGTTGCATATTTTGTCACGACTCAACGTGTCAGAGAAAGGGACTGCAAGCCAGGAGGAAGGAAAAGCTGAAAAGAAGTGGTTGAAAGCATCCTCATCATTAGCCCAGTTTCGTCTCATTTTAGCCACCATAACCATCTCATAATCGGATTTGGGTAGATTAGAATATGCAGTAATTATCCTGCGAATAGCATAGCAACGGTCTGAATCTAGCCAGAACTGAGGCACGAAAAAGCAACAAAACAAGATGTTCTTTCCCCTAAGAGTGTCAATCTCAACTCTAAGGCCATCATTTCGGACCAAGTAACCCCTCTTTCTGTCGTATCCATTAGTGGTGGGGGACAACAAGGACATAAGATCGAAGGGCAAGGGATCGCCTTTGGTAAAGGGAATTTGGTGTTCATTGTCATCTATTTTCTCATGTAAACAATCATGTACTTGATCATAATGGTGCATACACCACGTAAACCCATCCTTAACAGTATGATCACGTACCCAAAGGGGCTGCATCTGGTCTGGCAGTGGCTTTCCCAGGGTTCGATGATCAAAACCCCCCATCTTCAATATTTGGTCTTTAGGGCGGTGATCTTGAAAGTGCAGTATGGAATCCACAGTCCTAGAAACCCAACTCGATGGAACATCTGGGAAGCAAAACTTCTTCCCAATCTTAAACAACCTACTACTAGACCCTGTTCTCATCCTTTGTTTCAATTCGTTTCGATGCTAAGAAATTATGCAAACGATGATAGTATTAAGTGCAAAGCAAATCCAATCCAATCAAGTAATCAAGCCATAGAGCGGAGGTTAGATACTGCAAGGAAATTAACAATCCAAGATAATTAAACTGAGTAATTGTATTTATTTGTCACAGCTAGTAAAATTGAACAAGAGCATACCCAATTACAAGACTACTATTTGTCTAAAAAAAATTACTTTGTACAAGACTACTAGTTGCATAATATTGCTTTGTAATCTCCAAATTAACAGAAATCATGGTCACAAAATTTCACCTAATTTGGGTCAAAAGTTAACAAATTCCTACAAAATTTGATACTCCGTATATCCAGATGAAATTTCTTGCTCTAATTGACAAAAATACAACATTGGGATGAATGGGTAGATCTAAATTGCAAGAAATCACGACCAAACCTGACTAACAAAATTAGAATCACTCTCACAAGACTTGGTTAATCAAAGAACATCCCTTAGTACCCTTACAATACTATCCATAGCAGTAGGGGTATAGATACCTTTCTTCAAAATTTGGAACAAAGATAAATCACCAGTTTCCACAACAAAACTTCAGAAACCAGCTTCCATAGACAATTGCAATGCCCAATATATATCAATTTCTAACTAAAAAACAGAAATGCCAAATTATAGAATTCCCATGAATTTGAAACCCTAATTATACAGGATATATAACAAATCATCAATTTCAAGCAACTCCAACACTAAATTGATAAATTAAATAACAAAAACAACTTAGTCACAAAATCAACCCAATAACTCACGAAGAATAAGAAATTAAAACATTTTAAATTCAATAAGAAATTGAGTTACCTGAATATGTAATGATATTGAAAGATGCGGCTGCCGGTTGGTACGAAACTCGGACTATATAAATTACAATAGCTAAAATTAAGGAGAGAATAATAATCAAATAAACAGAAAATATAATCCCATGATTGTAGGCTTGATTAAGGGAAGATATTGATGGGGAATTATATCTTTGACTGATTATCCTTTGACACGCTGCACGCCCCCTCAAAATACAATTTTGGAAACAAGAGAATGAATGTGTGACGTGGAAGTGGCTTAGTAACAGCATCAACTAGTTGATGGTTGGTAGACATGTGTGACGTGGAAGTGGCTTAGTAAGAGCATCAACTAGTTGATCGTTGGTAGACATGTGTGACGTGGAAGTGACTTATTAATTATTATTATTATTCTTATAATTTTTGTTATTAATTATTATTATTGTTATAATTATTGTTAGTAATTATTATTATTGTTATTATTATTGTTATAATTGTTACTAGAAATTATTATTATTGTTATAATTATTGTTAAAATTGTTGCTATTAATTATTATTATTATTGTTATTGTTAATTATGGCATCACCAAACACAAACAACCCATCATCCTCTAGGAAAGTCCAATTTGTCTGTGGTAATAGGTCTAGAGATCACCTAATCCAATTAGCCCCTCAATTCCAAGTCCGACCAATGACCCCAGTAACGTCCCCCAAGACTTTGATCAATTTAGGCACGATGGTTCTTCCGATTTTCATCCATCGCTAAACATCGCCCGAAAATTACCATATAAAGCCCACAAATATGACTTGGTGTGACCATTATGCCCATTTTCTAAAATTGAACAAATCTCGGTTTAAAAAATGTGGAGCCGTACTGGCTCGCCGGGGGAGACCGGAGGGGAGGCCGGAGATGCGGGGGACGCCGGAGGTACGTCGTCGTCGACGGAAAACGAGGTAAGTCACCGTTAAAATTCACGGTTTACCGTCGAAGTGGCTCCGGCGCCTTGGATGGACGCCCAAACCGTAGCCTGGACGTCCAAGCCATACGCCAGAACCACCACAGTGGCGTCCAGCCCAGACGCCCGGACCACCGGACTGGCGTCCAGCCTAGACGCCCAGACCACCGGACTGGCGTCCTGGCCAGGCGCCACTTTACTGGCTGAGGCGGCCCTGCCAGGCGCCAGTCCAGTGGTTGTGGCTGCCCTGGCAGACGCCACTAGGGATGTCAGTGGGGCGGGTCAAGTAGGAGACCCGCCCCATCCCCGCCCCAATGGGGCGGGGATGGGTCTCGGTTTGGCGGGTGGTGGGGCGGGGATGGGGATAAAAATCATACCCGCCATGGGTGATGGGGCGGGGGTGGATTTTAAGTTGTACCCGCCCCATCCCCGCCCCGCCCCACCCGCCCCACTTCGTACCCGCCCCACCCGCCCCATACCCACATCTATATATCTTTTAAAGTAAAATTACATACTTTTATTCTATTTATAAAATAATTACATGAAATACAATATTAATTATAATACTTTGTACGACATTTATATTATAACACAAAAATGTGTATATAATGTTTTATTTTATAATTCGTATTAATTATGTAAGATTGTGTATTTGATATACGGATATTAGGTGGATCTTGGGTGGGGATTAGGCGGGTTTTTGGTGGGGATTAGGTGGGGATGGATATCCAAGTGGGGGATGGGGCGGGGATGGTTTTGGAGTTGTACCCGGTGGGGCGGGGATGGGGATGAAAATTGGACCCGCCGCGGGGATGGGGATGGGGATGAAAATATTAGGTGGGGATGGGGATGGGAAGGCCAACATCCGCCCCACCCCGCCCCATTGACATCCCTAGACGCCACCTTGGTTTTTATTTTTTTATTTTTTTTTTTTCATTTTTTGATTTTGTTGTTGTTTTTTCTTTTTTTTTTTTTTAAAAAAAAAAATAGAAAATGATTTTTTTTTAAAAATTCGAAATGGGTTTTTTTAAAATAAATTTTGAAAATTCGAAATATGTTTTTTTAAAATTAAGTTTGAAAATTCGAAATGGTATATTTTTAAATTTAGTTTGAAAATTCGAATTGGGTTTTTATAAAAATTAAGTTTGATTGTTGAGAAAGGTTTTTTTCTAAAATTAAGTTTGACAATTCGAAATTGTGTTAAGAAAAAATTGGAAATTGTTTATGTGACTTTTATAAGTGATTGTGTTTAAAATTTGTATGTGTATGTGTATGAATAATATTATACATAATTATGCTTTTTTTTTGTTAATTCTGTGTAAATATAGAAATTAAATGTATTATCCGTTAAATGTTTTTATTATAATATGTAATTGATGCAGGATTATGGTGGAGACGGAAATGATTACAGTGGGATATTTGGACATGATGGTCCATTCGAAGAAGCTCAACAGGCGGTTGATTGGGCAAAACAGGTTGCAATTGCAGCTGGATTTTGCTTGGTAGTAGTAACTCATAAATCTCAACGGGATGGTAGAATGGATCGCATTTTGAGATGTGACCTTTACCGCAAAAGAGAAGAAAGAGATTTTCGTACAGCCACTCGGTTTGATACAAAGCGGAAAGGTTGTGGGTGTGAGTTCAGAGTAAAGGTTCGACAACTACGGAGTCGTGACGGTTGGGAAGTGATTGGTTACTCTAAATGGGGGTATCACAACCATGAGATGATAGTATATGAAGAGGGTCATCGACAGCTGAGCGGCTTAAGTCCTGCTGCGAAACTAGTTGTGAAAGAAATGAGTGATGCTCAAGTCAAGCCTGCTAAAATATTAGCATCTGTGTTAGAGAAATTTCCAGAAGACCATCCAAACCGAAGACACATCTACAACGTCAGACAGCAACTCAGGTTTGAACGGTCAGAGGGAAGGAACCCTATACAGCAGCTGCTACACCAGGCACAATCACGTGGTTACCTGTTCTGGTTTGATTCTGATGAAGATACAGCGGAGGTGACTCATCTTTTCCTTGTGCATCCTGATTGTGCTGATATGATCAAGTCTTGGCCATTTGTGATTTTGATCGACTCAACGTACAAGACAAACAAGTACAAGTTCCCACTGGTTGAGATCATGGGGATGACTCCAACGAACCAGAACTTTCTGATTGGTCATGCAATCATCAAGGATGAGACGGCTCCAAGTTATTATTGGGTGTTGGAGAAGCTGAGAAACTACATCGGGCCTAATGTTCATCCAGCAGCCATCGTCAGCGACTGTGAGGGAGGTCTCTTTGCCCCCATAGTAGAGCTGTTTCCAGAATCGAACCACTTATTGTGCACATGGCACATCAACAACTGCGTGAAAGTGAAAGCGTACAACCTTTTCAACAAGAATTTGGAAATGGCAGAGAGATTGGTAAATGGTAAGTGGCGGAAGATCCTACAGGCTACCACAGAGGAAGCGTATGAGCGAGCATTGGCTAACTTCAGGGATTCGTACCAGTGGTGTCCGGCACTGGTGGACTATGTGATGCAGCAATGGGTCCCTCACAGGGAAAAGTTTGTCAAATATTGGACAAACCAGGTACTTCATTTCGGGAACACTACAACATGTAGAGTTGAGAGCGCTCATAGAGCTACGAAGGACTGGATTGATTCATCGACCGCTGCTTTGGATACACTGTTCGATAGACTTAACAAGTCAATTGAAACTCAGAAGAACGGCATCAGGAACTCTCTAGAGGACTCCAGACGACGACATGGTACGATGTATAGCCATTTTATATTTAAGATTCTCCATGGTCGTGTGTCGCACTACTGCTTGGGGTTGATTCTCACTGAGCTGAACAGGATGAGGGACTTGGCTGACGAAGTGTATGCTCGATGTGGGTGTGCTATTTCAGTAACTCATGGATTACCTTGTGCATGCACCATTCACCGCGTTATTACAGAAGAAAGGGCGTCGTTACATGTTGATCAGGTCCATTCATTCTGGCGGACGCTCGTTATTGGTGAGCATGCAGATACTCAAACGGCCGACCGTGAACAGGAGGAGTTGGAGCAGTTTCGTTCGATGTACGACCGAGTGTCCTCCAGCCATCCTTCTATTATTCGTGACGCTACTCATGTACTTCATGACATGTTCCACACGTCCACCTTAGATTATGAGGAACCCGAAGGAGTTGACCGTCCTCGAGGTCGGCAACGGCGGAATAGGAGTGCGTTTGAGTATATCCGTGGTCTTGGTCGTGGTCGTGCTCGTGGTCGCTCATCGTCATCTAGCCGTAGTCAATCTTCATCGTCTGTGAATATGCCCCTGAGAACTGGTACGTTTTGGTTGTTTACATTGCACATAGACTTAAAGTTTTACTCCTGTCTTTTTAACTGTGTTTAATTATATGGTGAATAGGAAGAAACGATGTTGATCAGTTTCCGTACAAGGACAGGATACCTGCGATCATCATGCTGTACTTGGAAGGGTGGAATGATGTAGTCGGAGATGGTAATTGCGGATTCCGGGTCGTGGCTGATGTTTTTCAAATGGGCGAAGACAACTACAGTTTGGTGCGTCAGTTGATGTACAGCGAAATTGCCTCTAACCGAAATGTTTATCGTCATGTGTACCAGGATGACTTGGATGGCGCTCTGCGGCGTATCCGGTGGGGAGGTGGACCTTGCGGCCAAAATCATTATTTTGATGCGCCCCTAGATCTGTTTGCCGTTGCAAACATTTACAAATGCGCAGTCATGCATTTCGGCCTGGGATTGCATACTCAAGCTTATTATCCTTGTACCACGGTTCTCCCTTGGCGTTCGTGCGAGACTGTCACGGCACCGGTCAGAGAGGTAGCTATTGCGTTTCTTGGGTCGTCATACAGACATTTCATCCGACTGGACATGTCATCCGATTTTCCAGTGCCACCGATTATACCTCGGTGGTACACCATTCGCACAGCGAGCGTAGACGGTTGGGATGCGCTATATCATGACCGGATCCACGAATGGAACACCTTAGCTGCATTTTAGTTTTTCATGTTTACATTCTTCCTGTGTAATCTTATTTGCAGGTTTCTCTTTTAATTAGAACATTAATCTTTAATATTGTATTGCTTAATGCATTCTATATGTTGCATGGGAAAGTTGTGCGGATCCACGAACGGTTATGTCAAAATTTAAAAACAGCATTGATAATATGTCTAAGTTGGAAGCTAAAAGAACAATCTAATATGTTACAAACTTACAACATAATGTCCAATTTAATAAATTAAAATGATAATGTTTAAAGTGCTCTATAAATGAAATGACAAAA